TGTAACCTCGGCATTTTCCTTTTTTCGTTAGTGAAATTCTCCTGCCGTCCGAGGTTTGTAGGTGGAACTCTTTATTGAATTAATTAGATTTAATGGAGATTTATTAATTTTATTATTAATTCTTATCAGTGATCTCAGTGATGAAAAGAGTGAAGTGCTTCATGGAGCTCTTCTAGTGAGCTATGCTTGGTAATTCGCTAAGCATATACTGAGTTTAAACCAGCCTTTAGACCGCTGGATTCCAAGGCACAGTTCCCAGTAGTTATAGTTTTGGGATTGAATAGGCTTGGTCGACGTACACACCCAAAAGTAGCCGTGTCGTGGGTGCATTGAGTTAGAGTAGTGGGTCAGTGGCGAAGGAAGCGAGATGATCTGCAGAGTTCACGAAATCTAATCCATATTAAATGTAGAGGGAACAGAGGGTTGGACGAGATTAACATGATGGAAACGGCAATGAAAGGGTATTTGGACGAGATTACCGCAGTTTCGTAAAAAACTGTAACGGTGAGCCAAAAATGTTTGAAACTGCCTTCCACTTCCGCCATGGGCCACGACTGGTCATTTGAATTCCCAATGAGGTTGTTAGGTTCAGGAAAAAGGTAAATAGCAGTAATAAGGTTGCCATGTCGAATGTTCTGGTTGTGTGTTCTCGTTGATAGCTATTTTCAGACGTCGAATTTTTCCCTTTCGATGATCAGCGATGCATTCTGAGATTTGGAAGTTGGACCGTAAGTTTTGTTATGGTTTTGTTATGCTTTTTGTGCTACTAGCAATGTTCTTACTAGCGTAGAGAACAGTCAACACTTGTTCATTGTCGGGGATCTGTTTTTCTATCAAAATTACCAATACAGGAGCGGCTTTGATCACGCCCTAAAAAATTTCCGGAAAAATTGGCCAGGAAAACCTTTCGGGAATGCATGGTGCCCTAGAACGGTGGAGGTGGTGTAGTGGTAAGTAACGCACTGTCACACGCGCATGCCTGGTTCGATACCCTCCTAGGCCAACCAAGTCTTCCATCCCTCCGTAGTCGTTAATTGGCATCAAAGGATGGAAACACCTGCTTGTAGATGGGCAGGCCACCGCGAGTTATTGTATAGACAAGAAAAGTGTACAGAACGTCTCGGCTGTTCTGAATGGTAGCCGATATAGGGAGAGCAGGTGGGGATGTGGTTGGGGTAGGGGTATGGAAACGGGTTATTCACGGGATTACATATTGGTACCAGACTCGTCCGGAAGGATAAATAACTGCTTTGACAACGGGTTGGTCTCCGCAAGTCACTGTATCGGTCTAGCACACATTCAGTTGGCTACTACAGTTCTGAATGGATGTCGGATGCAGAGGTACCTCCCAAAGCGGCGCTGATGGAGCCAAAAATTGATCATTCGTCATTTGTGGTGCTCTGCTGAAATCGGGCCAAGTTACACTCCCCATGGAATTTTGTGAATGGGTGGCTGGATCGTCAAATTGAAAACACCAAAAACGGGATGCTCTGAGAATGTGGTGAGCGTCCTTCGATTATGGAGCTTGAAGCTGTTAGTCCCATTTACCACACGTGAAGGGGTAGAGACGCGTAATTTTGGTAATTTTCTTAAAAGTAAAGACGACTTCATGCAAGCTCCTTTTCTGGAAGTGCCCAGCCCTTGCCTCTTTTTTTCATTCTTGCATCTGGCCTGGGATAAAACAAAAGGCACAAGCCATGAATTGATTTCCAGTACAATCGTGACGAACTGAAATTGGATTTCCTACATATGGATCGAGTCGATTTTTCCGAGTATGTTCCGTCTTCGATATGGGATGTGATGGATGCCCCTGCGGTGCTCACTGAAGATAGGAGTCGAATAGAATTCCAAATCAGAATAAGGTCAGTTTACTTGAGCTGTATGAATGACGAACTCAGTGCCAGTTTAAACTAGAATCGATTCCTCTGACATTTTCCTTAGTGATTTTTTAGTTCAGGAGGAAAAGGTTGTTTTATACAGTTGTGTTGGTGTTGCCAACAATACTGATGGCATTTTTGAATGTTACAGTCTTCTATCTTCCCACAGCATCAGGCGAGTTACTCATACTCGGAATGCTTGCTTAACAGCTCCTCGCTAACTTTTTGTGAGAAAATATCATAATTGGTTAGGTCCTTGTCTTCATGGCACCGTTCAAGCTCAGTAAGTGTTTGAAGCCCGGTGTTTGAAGCTACACCAAAGGACGTGTTTTAATGGCCTTGAAGAGGCTGCACTATTCTCAGTGGAGCACATTTACTGAATATTTGAAACGGCTTGTCGTCATGGCTGCGTTTATGAAGACAACTGGCGTCTTCATAAACGCTGGCGTCTGACTAAAACGCTGATGCTGGTTGGTCTTTCGTAGCGCTGAATTAAGAAAACACCAAAACCAACAGCAAGACACCCTGTTAGGACGAAAGTCGTATTCAACGAACTACTGATTAACCTGGTGGGTAGTGGTGAATGTGTAGATCTCCGCGTCTCATGTTTGTCCAAGGCTGTTTGACCAGTGGTAACGAGATCCAAGGGGCACCTTAATAAGCTGTGCTCCGCTCATTCTGATAGGCGATACGATTTGGGCGGTGTTCAATGGAAAGCTATGAGCTGTCTGATGAGTCATCACTGAGATATAAGATTTTTCAGGCGAGAAAATGGGTCTGACGATGAACGTTTTGCTGTCCATCAATGTGTTTTTACTTCTGGTCTCAAAGATTCTGCCGCCGACGTCGTTGTCGATTCCTCTGGTCGCTAAATATCTCCTGCTCACTTTCGTGCTCAACATCATAACCATTCTGATCACTGTCGTCATCTGCAACATATACTTCCGATCTCCTATCACGCATCGCTTGCCGCCATGGGTTCGAAGTGTCTTTTTGGATGTAAGTGTCAATAGGCAATAATGCCCGAGTTATCTTCAGAAAGTAAGAAGTTGTGAGAACGAGCCAAATTCTGATCGCGCCAGGTTTCAGTGGCTACCCCTTCTGATGTGCATGCAGCGACCAGGACGTAAGGACGTCTTGCATCAGAAGAAGAAGAAATTGGAGACTAAATCCAGCCAGCATCTAACAACACCGAATCACCATCCCCACTGCAAGGTTGCTGATACTGTTCGGTGAGTTCCTTGCCACATTTTCACGGAGCTTTCCGTTTTCAATTTTTTAAGCAGAATATCGTATTGTAATGTATTTAATATTGTAATATTGAAATGAGGTTTTACTTCTGACAATCAATATATTATAGTTCTATAGACGAAGCTGACCCTAGGAAAAGTACACAGAATTGCAGCTGGTACCATCTGTAGTGCGTTACAGCAGAGCGGATTCAGAATAGCCTCATTTTCGTTTTTTTTTCAGAGCACTTTGGAACATCGCCGTGATGAACCTGCTGTAATTTTTTTATCAATTTTAATTTTTTTTTTGAATTAAGAATCTTTTTCGTTGAATTTCGTTCTGGTCAGACAAAAAAATAAGCGTCTCCGAGCCTGTGGAAAAAAAATGTTTCAAAAAAAGCTTCAAATGAGAAACTGTTGCCATTTCTGTTTATAGCAATTAAATCGTTTCTGTGATTACAAAAATCAGGCAGAGACACTCTTCGTCTTTCCAAGGAGGAGGAGCTCGCTAAGAAGTTTCCGATTGAAACTGAAAAATCTGAAGAATTTGGGCAATTGAAGAGGACCTCTGTGTCTGATATATCTTCAACCACTATAGAACATTAACAATTTTGCAAGAGTGTCTCCTACGAGATCGACAGGTTACTCTATTCATTTGTATTTATGTAATTATAATTATATCCGCTATAGGCTGTTCCCACTAAACATTACTCCACTTTCTTCATACTTTGCGCTTCCTTCACTTTTTTTAATACGTTGTGCCTATATACACAGAATCCTTTCCTTTCAAGAGATGGCGCTCCACTGATTCGAATAAGCCATCCTTCTTGTGAAGATCTTTCCCCAGATGCTCAGCGAGCCGTTGATGCCATCGAATTCATCACCGAAAACATGAAGGATGACGAAACCACGAAACAGGTTCATTTTCAGGAAGTTCTCATAAATCCAGGACTTGTTGTTTTAGAGACCGTCGAATTTTTTTTCATAAAATATATATAGCCAAAAACTGCCCTAACAGCTAAACACGGGTATACCGTTGCTACTTTCACAGTGCTGTTCGAAATCAGAAAAGAATTTTAGACGATTTCTCAGTCTGTAATCCCGTACGAAAGCTGCGCCTACGGTTTAGACTTTTGTTCGGAATCGCAGTGGCGGTTTGAACGCGTTTGTGACCTTTATTACATTCGGTGGCCAGCCGATGTACAAGTCAGTGCTTTTATCTTCCCAGACCGGTCTAATACCATTTATCCGACTCCGAAGGGATGTAAGGCTTGGTTGGCCAAGGCGTAAGTCGATCCTTGATTCGAGCCCATGACCAAGCCTGTGTTTTAATGACCCGAGCGCCGAAAGGCTGTCGTCTTTTCGAGGTCAAAAAAGTGGTACCGGGCTAGTATGGGAGATTAAAAACTCAGGTTTGTACAATGGCCAGTAGCGCCCGCAGGTGTATAGGCCACAAATGCTTTCAATTTCCACTACGATTCCCAGATGGGGGACACCCCGAAAATGCGTCTGATTAATGACAAAGGCCTCACCTTTGTTATTTTCATTATCCCTCGTGCGATGTCTAATTGTTCCTGCTTCAGTATCGGGACGACTGGAAGTACATCGCTATGGTAGTGGATCGTATACTACTCTATGGCTTCTTTGGAATCACCCTA